CGCGGGTGCTCGTGCGCGCACTCTCTCTCTCTCATTCTCTCTCTCATTGTATTGATTTCTTCTCAGTTCTTAACTAAGGGCCATAGAATAATCCTGCTTGGTCTTGGTGAGACCAAGTGGCATAAATTCCAGCTTCAGAGAGAGGAGACACTATGGTAACATGCTGACAGCCTTCATTTACATAAAAGAATACTAATTACGTGGTATCATCAACATCTGTGATTCTGCTCACTGCCATATGCGACAGCACTGGGTATTTTAACCCTTCAACTCACTAAATCTACCCAGAATTATATCTACTACAAAACCTGCAGAACTGCTTGAAGAGACATAGTGAATACATTTTTACAAATAAGCGTTAAAAATCAATTTCATTTTCTGCTAACATTTTATTTCCAAGAGGTATGGGAAAATATAATTTAATATCAATATACAGTTAAGAAAAAGATTAAAAAACCTAGGTAGAAATCACATAAAGAATAGTTAGTAACCCAAAAGGGAAGAGTACCACATTCTAGAACAGTGGTCCCCCAACCTTTTTGACATCAGGGACCGGTTTTGTGGAAGACAGTTTTTCCACTGACCGGAGATGGGGGGTGGAAGGGTGCGGTCACTGCCTCCGCTCCACCTCACATCATCAGGCATAGGATTCTCAGGGGGAGCGCGCAACCTGGCACCCCCGCATGCGCAGTTTGCAGTGGGGTTCGCACTCCCATGAGGGCTGATCTGACTGTGTGGGGCCTCCGGCGGTGATGCAAACGACAGGGAGCGGCTGTGGGTGCAGTTGGGGCTTTGTGGGTGCAGTTCTTCAGGCTTCGCTCACTTGCCCACCGCTCACCTCCTGTGCGGGCCCCGTTCCTGGCGTGGCGTGGCAGGGGGTTGGGGACCGCAGTTCTAGAATATTAAATAAGACTTTAAAAGGCCATAAATACAATGCCAGTAACCTTCTGAATTTTCGTATTTATGGCTAAAACAAAAAAATGGGCGGGACTGAGAAGCGTAGAGTTAGAGAAAAGCTGTTCAGAAGTCCTTTGCTAAGGGGCAGTGTGGGGGGTAGAGATTGCTGAGTGGGTAGAGTGTCCTTGCACTGCTGTACTTTCCCTTTTTCTTCTTCATTACCGTTGGCCCTGAATGTGGGGGTGGATGAGAGGTAACCTGTAGGTCAGAGCACAGTTCAGAGACTCCTGGAGAGGCTGAACTCTCTAAGAGGGATTCGGAAACTCTGACCAAAGGTGTTCTTTAGCTCTCTGGCCTGAGAGCTGGAACACCCACTTAAACAGCAGCTCTTAGCCACAGTTGATGGGACCTGATGTGCTGAGTGTGCCAGGGCCTTCGCGAGGTGTGCTATCACTCATTTGTCATCAGTAATCACGTACTGATGTTGAAGAATGAGTTTGTCTAATCATGGGTTACAGCAGATTTAAGGTTATTCCAACACGATAATGTCTCACTTGCATTAGGAGATCTGCTTTCTTCAATGAAAAAGGAGCATGGTTCATCCAGAGAACTGGGCCAGGTACACAACACTGGTGGCTTGACCAGGGAAGGGGCCATCTTTGCTGCCATGCAGGGAGATGACAAGACTGAACAACTGGCGAGGTACAAATGCTTTGCTCCACATGCCCTCCAAACAAACCTTCATCCTCTGCCTTCTTTTGTTTGCATCCTTCCTCTCGCTACAAATATTATCAATTCTCTTCTGTCTAAAAAAAAATAAGACAGACAGACAAAAGTTTGCCCTGCCTCTAGACTATCCCTGACACTACGTTTAGGTTCTTTCTCCTTTTCCTGCCTACTGTATTTCTGGCAAAGGTAATGTGCAGTTTCATCTCCCTCACAACTCACTCCTTAACACCTTCATTTCATGGAAACTGTTTTCTTAAAGGTCACTAGTAATTTCCTTATAGCTAAAATCATTAGCCTTTTCTCAGTCCCCACACATATTTATTCTGCATTTGACACTAAACACATTCTCTCCTGAATTTTAGGCAACTGTTCTTTTTCTTTTTTTTTTTTTTTGAGACAGAGTCTCACTCTGTTGCCCAGGCCAGAGTGCCGTGGCATCAGGCTAGCTCACAGAAACCTCAAACTACTGGGATCAAGCGATCCTTCTGCCTCAGCCTCCCGAGTAGCTGGGACTACAGGCATGCACCACCATGCCCAGCTAATTTTTTCTACATATTTTTAGTTGTCCAGCTAAATTTCTTTCTATTTTTAGTAGAGACAGGGTCTCACTCTTGCTCAGGCTGGTCTCGAACGATCCGCCTGCCTCGGCCTCCCAGAGTGCTAGGATTACAGTCATGAGCCACCACGCCCGGCCTAGGCAACTGTTCTTATCTGTTTTGCTTCCTGTGTCTGTAATCACACCTCTGTTTTCATGAGTCCCCCATTCCTTGAAACCTAGG